TTATCTATGTAAATCTCCTTTGCAACATTTTATCTATAATACAGAAACATTTCTCTTCCAGCAACATTACTTAAGAAATCATGAAGTTCAAATGAAAGCTGCGTCCTTACACATTACAAAAGATTACTTAAAGACCTTTAATTGTATCGTCATACAACATTGAATGGACTGAAAATACTACTTCTATAGTTCTCCTCTAGTTTCTTTTGTACATGGAAAAAGATGTACATGATTCACCAGTTATAAGTAAAGTTAAAAATGTCAGCCATGAGTTAACTGAATATAAAATTGAAGATTTCTGAATAAAAACAAAATGTAACTATAAAAGTAACTAAATAACAATGCTCCAATTACCATAACAATCCTAAGAAAAATAACCAATTTTTCGATAAGCAGAAATCTGGAAACCATAGTTTAGAATCCAAGAATTTGCAAGTACAGACCATAAAAAACATAGCAAGCAAAAACTTAAATGATTGGTCCACTGCCAATCAAAATGAGACATAAATTTCTTTGGTCATTTAGTCCATTGTCCATCAAAAAGGATGTTGCTGCTTGNNCCATCAAAAAGGATGTTGCTGCTTGCAAATCTTCCTAGTGCATTACAAGAAGAAGTTGAATCTTGTCTTCACTTGCTTATGGTTCGAGGTTCAGCAAACGAAACAGAACCTCTAACAATTCTTCTGTTTTTAGCTGTTGCTTCTCTCCTTTTTGAGTTTTCTTCAGTATCAAATTCTTGCAAGTCTTTTATCAACTCTTCAACATAAATACTCTCAACCTGAACATGACTAATCTCAGGTGATGCCACTCCTTTTCCATCGTCTCTTGAAATTCCAGATGCATCACAAGCTGGTCCTACCTTTTTAAAGATTGCAGATTGGCTTGAAACAATCCCTGGAATAGGCATGAACATGAATTTTGATATTGAAGGTTGTTCCTGGTTGGTTGGCATGGTGTTCCTCCTTCTTTGAGGTACAAGTTTGTTCTATGACAGGAACAACAATGAAGATACAATAAAAATAAACTTAGCAATTTTATGTAATGGGACTATAAAAATTAAACTGAATCTTCAATACATTACCAGCTTTTCACTAATAGTCTTATCTGTAATGGGACTTATCATTTCATTGTCATACCAATCCTATCAAAAAAAGGCAATCATAGTAACATGTTATGAACGATGTACAAGTAAATCTTAACATACTGCAGGGAAAAGCCTAGTGAATTACCTCAACAGGTGCATCATCTCTTTCATGGTACCTCTTATTGTGGCCAGTCAATCCACATACACTACAAGTCATTTCTACCCCATCTTTCCTTTTCATCTTCGATGTACCACCAATATGAGAAATTACATCTTCTTCAGCTTGTCTTCTTCTTTTCGTTTGCTTTCTTCCTCTCTTCGATATATACGAGCCAGGAGGTTTGATTGGGAGTTCATCAACATCAGGCCATAGGTTCTTTCCATTTATCGGATTGACAATGTTCTCATAACAGTTCAAATATGTTCTCACCTTATAGCAATCATGAACATCTACATCCATTTGAGGGTTATTGTAACGGTCTTTAATGGCAGCCACTGCATGTGCACATGGGATACCTGATAGTTGCCACCTCCTACATGCACAAGTATGATTGGGCAAATCAACAACATACTCTCCTGATGGACATGCCACATATGACTGAGGACCTCCCAGACCATTCTACTTCGCACTCA